TCAATATATTTATTTAAAATTTATATTTTTGAATTAAAACTCCATGAACTAGAGGTGAAGATATGATATCAAACATTGTAAAGCCTCGGGCCGGCAGCTTAGTAAACATCTTACAATATATGGCCTAAACAACAAAACCAGCTCGGTCCAAAGTAGTTGACACAACCAAGAACCCCATATGGTTATATAAGAGACAGGCGAGGAATTGAAGCAGTAGCTAATGTTCATTTGTAAAATGGGATCCAAACCTGTAGAGACTTCAACCCTCGTATTGAGGATCTTCACTTTCTTTTTTGCAGTTGCTTCCTTTGTGGATCTACTCACCAATAAAATTGAATCCTTCGGTGGCGGCAAGCTCATCTTCAAGGACATAATTACCTACAGGTAAGACGAAAATAATTTAAAATTTTGTTATTCAATGTGTTTGGGATTGTTGTATAAATGCTATGATTTTTTTTTAGGTTATTTTCACATGTTCAACAATTAATGTCATTCATTAAATAGTTAATGACACCTATTTTTAACTTAATTAATTATTAAACCCTTACATTTTACTTTTTCTTGTAATCTTTTTTTTTTTAATTTTTTAATGAATTAAAGATATTCTAATTAATTATGATACAAATATGTGAAATTAGTAATTAAGAATGTAATAATAATACCGCCCAACTTTTTATAAAAACATGTTAAAGTTAGATAACTATTTTGAAAAAAGAATTATTCTTCTATATGATTATTAAATTATGGTATTAAACATTAATTAAAATGACTTAATTTAATTATAATAAATGAACATTTTTAGTGTTCTCCACATCGTGAACGGAGTGATTCCACTTTACCTCCAAGCAAGAATACTACTGGAAGGTTTAAGTTTAAACTTAAACCTTCCGCTCCTCATTCTCTACCCCTTTGTACTTGTAAATAATTGCCTTCGTCAAAAAAAAAAAAAGGGGACATTTTTAGTAAAGTGTTGTCCGGAAAAGCGTTTGGCACAAGAATCCCAAACACAAGTTAGCGCTGATATGCTGAGAAATTGAGATGAAGTTATGTGTTCTCTACTGCTGTCATCGCGGCAGCGTATGCGCTGTTGCAGATATCCTTTGCTATCTACAATGTAAACAACGAAAAGAGGATGATAAGCAGTGATTTCTCACCGGAATTCGATATCTACGCTGACAAGCCCATTAGCCTTCTTTTGGCCACTGGCGTTGGAGCTGGCTTTGCTGTAACTTACGAATTCAAGCAATTTCTAAATGGAGTGTTTGATATAGTGGAAGAAAGTGACTTAAAACCTGCTTATGATAAGTTCCTGAACAAGGTATAAGCGGCTGCAGCACTACTCTCCGGGGCATTTTTATGCATGGTTGTGCCCTCAGTACTCTCCTCTGTGAATCGGAATGCAAGAAAAGACTTGTTCGGATGACAATAATATTTGTTTTTGGTGTTCCAAATAAAATTATTTATTCTTTTACTTGTATTTTTTCCAACGTCTTTAGGTATATGGCTTCTTGTATGTTTTTAATAAATCTGACTATGATTCGATGATAATGGGGATATGGGATAATATTTCCTTTCTATTTTTTTTTTGAAATGCAAAGAGAAATTTATTATGTGTTGCGGGTACCAGGAGTACACCAGACCAATATCAATTTGAGTAAGTTACAAATTGAACAACAAAATACAATCAATCATGGGGGGATGGAAGTGCCTTTGGCTGTATGTGGGACTTTACTTGTTGCTTGCTATTCTGTTACCTATCCTTTTGTTGCTGCAAATGTTGGTCAGACAATCAACTGGATTATGAAGCCAATCTGATAGGGAGAAGACACAGCCTCCTTTTCTACTTTTTAGCCACCTAAATGTCCTAATTTGTACCAACTCCAAGAGCCTCATTTTGTTTGGTTCCTTCTCTTGAAAGATCTTCTCATTTCTAGCAAGCCATATTGTCCAAACAATACCAAACCAAATGCATTCCCATCCCTCCTTCCATTTCGCCCTTCTTAATGGATTTGGGTGCTGCTGAAACACCTTCCAACAGTCTTTATCAAGCACATGTATAAGACCCCACCATTTGAAACAATCATTCCAAAGATGCCAAGCAAAATTACAGTGAATAAAGAGGTGGCTAGTATTCTCTGCTTCCTTACCACATAAAGCACATTTGCAATCTTCAAGAGCTTGAATAGTACCTCTTTTATGCAGATTAAGCTTTGTGGGGATTTTGTCCTGTAGTAATTGCCTTGAGAAAGCCGAGATTTTGTTGGGGATCAGCTTGTTCCATACATTCTGGAGTTCCATTCCATGCTGATCCGATCTAGTTTCCTTTGTGAGTATTTGATATGTTGAATTTGTGGAGTAGGTTCCATCTTTGCTGTGAGCGCATTCCCAAAGGTTTGGTTTGCCTCTTATGAGTCTTGTGTCTTGTATGTCCTTTTGTAGATCTCCTGCTTGTTGAGTTTCCCAGCTAAAGAGGTTTCGTCTCCATTGAAGGTTCCATTGAAGGTTCCATTACCATTTACCATTAAGCCATTCTCCCATTTGAGGAATTTTGTTATCCTTCCCTGTAGATAGAGAGTAAAGTCTAGGATATTTGTTAGCAAGACACCCTTCCCCTCTCTAGTTATCCCACTAGAAATTAGTACTAACCCCTTCACCTACTTTTAATTTAAAACCATCAGCTTCCCATCCCCTATTTTCCCTTGCTATTGTATTTATACTACAGATGTCCCTCCACCATTTTGTTCCACTATTGCTCTCCTCTCTCAGCCAGTAATAGATAGGTTCCCCCACCTTCCCATATTTTTCAAAAATGATTTTTTTTTTCCATAGCCCTCTTTCCTCTGACACTAATCTCCCCTATCATTTTCCTAAGAGAGCCATATTGAACTTCCTAAGGTCTTTTACTCCCAAACCACCTTTCTTCTTATCCTTACACACCATTTCCCATTTCACCCAATTGATCTTCTTACCCCCTTCAGTCCCACCCCATAAAAATCGTCTACGAATTTGATCAAGGAGCAGAATCGTACCTTTGGGTATCAAGTATACCGACATCCAGAAGACCAGGAGACTATCAAGCATTGAGTTAATAAGAGTAATGCGACCTCCGAGAGATAGAAACCGACCCTTCCATTTGGATAATTTACTATTGAAAACATCTGTCAACGGTTTCCAAAAGGCAATCTTCTTGCAGCATCCCCCAATCGGGATGCCTAAGTATTTAAAGGGGAATGATCCCTTTTTGCAACACAGCACCCATGACATTTTTTCTATCCATTCTTCCTCCACACAAATGCCAATTAAATGGCTCTTATTGAAGTTGATCTTTAGTTCCGACACCAATTCGAAAGATCTTAAGATTGCCTTCATTGCCCATACATTTTCCTCCATTGCTAAACCAAACAGAATAGTATCATTTGCATACTGCAAGTGTGAGACTTTGAAGCCTCCTACTCCCACCTCTACTTCTTGCAATTGGTCTTTTTGAACTGCTCTTGAAATCAGGCCATTCAACCCCTCTGCAATGATTAGAAATAGGAAAGGGGATAGTGGATCTCCCTGCCTTAAGCCCCGCGATACTGAGAATTGACTTGTTGGGCTTCCATTAACTAGACTAAAACCAGACTAGTTCTTAAACACTCTTGTATCCAATTCCTCCATTTTGCACAAAAACCCATCCTCTGCATCATATAATCCAGGAAATCCCAGCACACCTTATCATAGGCCTTTTCAAAGTCTATCTTGAACAAGAAGGCCTTTTTCTTCTTCTTTTTTGCTTCCTCTACCACCTCATTTGCAATTACTACTCCATCCATTAGTTGCCTTCCCCTTAAAAATGCCATCTGTTGCTCACCAATTATCGTATCCAGAACATTTTTGAGGCGGTTGGCTAATATCTTTGCAAGAATTTTATACACCACTCCAATGAGGGATATAGGTCTATACTCCTCAATCTTTTGGGAATTATCAACCTTCGGTACTAGGGTAATGAAAGAGGTATTTAACCCCTTCACCAACTTGCTTTTTTCTTGGAATTCTTGAAGGAATTGAATCACATCTTCCTTGAGAACCTCCCATTGATCTTTTACAAACTTGAAGTTGAAACCGTCTAGACCTGGTTCTTTTGAGCTGTCATAGTCCCTTATAGCTTCTTTGATCTCCTCTTCAGAAAAAAGGAGCAATTAATGTTTCATTGTCATCCTGAGAGATTTGCTGGAAAACCACCCCATCAAGTCTTGGTCTTTCTTGCTTTTCTTCCTTGTATAACTGTTCAAAAAAGGAGGAAATCTCCTCTTTCATTTGTCTTGCTTCCACAATCTGGGCTCCATTTACTTGAACACTATTTATCTCGTTCCTCTTCCATCTCCCTTTAACACAGTTATGGAAAAATCTTGTGTTGGCATCGTTCAGCTTCAACCATGTTTTCCTTGATTTTTTTTACAGCATGCTTTCTCTGTGCTTGATGTTATCCCACAGAACTAAGAAGGATTCCCTTCTTTTTTTGATTTCCTCTTCCAAGACTTGGATTGCTTCTCCTTTCAGATCAATCTGGGCAATTTCTACAGTGGCATTGTTTATTTCGTGATCAATCTCAGGAACAAATTCCTTGCTCCATTTTCTTAGGTCCTCCTTGGTCATCTTCAGCTTTTCTTTTATTCTGTATCCCGTCCAGCCTTGAATATCTGCCTTACTCCAAGTCTCTTTGATCAGCTCTCTGCAACCTTCTTGCTCTATCCATGTATTAAAGAATTTGAATGATTTAGGCCCCCAATCAACTTCTTTTTGTTTTAGCAAAATTGGACAGTGGTCGGATATTGTCCTATTAAGTCTCCACTGCTTGGCATCACCCCATTTAGTCAACCATCCTTCCGATAGCAGGAACCTATCAATTCTACTCGTAGAATGACCAGTAGCCTATACCCATGTGAAATTTCTCCCTACTAATGGTAAATCAACCAATTCCACATCTCTGATGAAGCTATCAAACTCGCTCATTTCTGCTGATATTTCTCT